CTACATAAGCGAATGAGCCCAAAATCATTGTAACTTTATTGGAAGCATAGAATGACCATTAAAATTTCTGACAAAGGTAACAAGCAACGAATCTTATAATGCAAGAGTTTGACTCGACAGTATATTATACATTGTAAACCACATCGCCGGGAGAAGTTGAGAATATTAAAGCTGGATATAACCGTATTATGGATGCTAGAAGAGCTATACGTGCTAATAATGTGAGGAAAATGAAATGAGAAGTATATAAATATGTCCATTACAAAAATTCAGTTATGGAACACCTGGAGAATACCAGTTCCAAAACGTGATAATATGGTTACATAGGAGTAACATTCCACTATACTCGGCTGATGACCTAGGTAGGGTTCCGGCTTTCAGTGAAATGAACGCTAACCACTCAGCGGTTTATCAACAATAGTGGTTCAGATGGAGCAATCTTTTAGAGTTTGATGGGACCAACCAACTCAAGAGATTGTCCATTGGCTTTTCGTGGTAATTGCGTCCTTTCAGCAACTGAGCTTTAAGGGCGCTCTGGGACTTGACTCACACCAAGTTTTGGTTTATTTAATATGCATTTTCATTTGTTTTTCAGATATTTGCAAAGTCTGATATAACCTGTTTAATAACCGTTGTCGATAAAACTCGAACGAGACTCCATCGTTTTCGCGAGATTGTATGACACGAAACCGTAACATCGATGGCGGTAAAGAGCATGGAAAATATGCCTAAAACCACAAATTTGAGGGTCATGAAAACTCGATAAAAAATCAAACTGGCACACCTGAATACTGGAATCAGCCTGTCCATTGGGCAAGGGTATACTGATGCAAGACTCGAAGTTTCCAGCATTCGACAATGAGTCCTTTCCATCACCAACTCCCATTGACGATTGAGTACCAACATCCACAGTGGATAATCTATACGATAAGTGTCAACCCTTATGAAACTTCTCATTACATGGCAAAATGAAGAGAAAGCATCACTGTCGTAGAAGAGGCAGTGACCACATGGTGCAAATGCTGTCCGTCCAAGTTCGGATGCCACTTCGCTGCACCTGCTTACGTGATCATAGAGCCATCAACTTGATGTTAGAGCTAGCTCTTACTCACGGTAGTCATTCTCCTACTTTGCGGTTTGAAACAACCTGCAAGTGCTCTGGCGACTGAATGCGACCTCTTCCACCCCCCCCCCCCCCCCCACTACCACCTGTCTGGAGTGGCTAGCCTTTTGCGATCTGAATTTCTCGTAGCACCCAGCTACTGAGCATATGTTCTCCGGCACTTGAGCTGTAGTGGTCGGAGCGTAAGCCCGTGGAAGTGGCAGACTTTGTGATATTCTGCGCTTATTTCTTCTCATCAGCTCTTATCGGTCGATATCGCAATCTCTCACGCACTATCAATCACATCAATCTGCGATGCTCTACCATCAACGAAAACGGCAAATTAATTAAATTAAGCAAATTAATAATTAAATTAAGTAAATTGGCAATAGTTACATTATAACGCAATTGACAGGAATTATCCCGGGCAAAGGAGCGGTTGGATGGACTTCTATGCTAACGACGACATCGCATAAGAAGAAGTGCTTTTCTTATCCGGAATCCAGGACACAAAGCAGTTCTCATCGGTTTTTATCACTTTTTATCCTCATCAAACATGTTCTGGCCCAGCCTTCCATCACTTGTTGAAGCTAAAGCCTCACCGCTGCCGGGCCGCGTGCTATGAATTCCACGACAAATACACATATCTACACACACAGATAGACTTATCAAATAGTAGTAGCAGTACAGCCGAGAACTTTTTTGCTCACTTTCATAGCGTTGTTTTTAAAATCATACTGCTCTTTTTTGCTATATTTAATCACATCATACGATGCAAAAGTTAATGTAGGAATGCTGTTAAGAACAAGATTGTTCGCCTTAGCTAAGACTCGAACTCGAATTCGGGTTAGTGGGCCTACTAGTAGTGTACTACAGATGACTCAGCAGCCTCGGGTGAAAATTTCAGTTGAACGCTTCAGCTTTACAAAAGAACATCACCTTAATTACGGGTGATAAATAAAATACACGCTGACGAATCCTGTTCTAGAGATGAAACATGTACAGTAGCGGTCAAAAGTGTTCGCCGAAACGATTTTTAGTGCATTATTTTTTCTTGCCTGAGGAACGCTCTAAAGATAGTATACTATTGTTTTTGTACTGTATGCCAAAACGAGGTTTTTAAGATTCCTATTAGTTATAAGTTAATAGTTTTTAACATTCCTAATAGTGATATCAAACGGCAGCTTGTTCGAAACAGAGTGTATGACAGGCAGTGCGTGACATCGGACTGCATTATGCATTATCTGCCCGAATGGCACGGCGGCAGGGGATTGTGGTAAGGTTGGGGTGATTTAAAGAGACGTGGTAATGTAGCTACCCCACTTGGCAAGCACAAAATTGAGGAGCACAGCGGGAACGACTTCGATGTTAAATGTTCTGTGTTAGCGTACGAGACTGAGATTTCATCCAGAAAAGCTTTGGAATCATTCTGGAATTTTCGCAAGGAAGCCTAGAATGAACGGCCGAAACGAATGTCCGTCGATTACGAATGAGCTCTTGCCTTTTGTTTCAAAGTGCGAGCTATGAGTGCGACGTGCAAATTGACAGATTTTGACATATATGACACTGCGAGACTTGAGTAGAGCTCATTTGCCTCATTGACGTCAACTAACAGGGCGTGAGCTACTGCTCCGCATCGGTGGAATCTTGGGTGAGTTACTTCTTCATCACTGAGTGCTCGGAAGTGTTCTCGACGCTCTATGACGTCGAGAATACTAAAATCGGTTGATCGAGTAGCTTAACAAATCAAAAAGCTTCAGACAATCTCCAGGCCTCTGAAGAAGACGAAGCGGTCGAAACGTCAGGCCAGTAAATAAAGATTCCATCTTAAAAACCTCGTTTGGCATACAGTACAAAAACAATTGCAGTACATTCAACATCAAATGCCGAGGTTTCAACAAAGGACGACATGGAGACTATTGTATACTATGTTTTCTAGAGTTTTTATACGCTGAAGCCTAAAATAATCAGGATGCTTGAAAGAAAATTTTTTGAGGTCGCCATTGATTTTTTCTGGCAAAAAAGAAACACGGAAAGGCGTTTTGGCAAACATTTTCGACGAGTACTGTATATCACTTTCACGCATCATATGAGGTACCTTAAAAATGCAAGAATAGGATATATGACAGTATATGACAGTATAGTCCGAATGGGGCAAGTTAGTGATTTACCCTTTCAAACGGATCTGGTACCAACTAACAACCCTGAAAGATGAAAAGCAGAAGAGAGCCTAAACAGATTTGAGTCCAGGTTTTGAACCATGACATTCGCATGGCAACGCACCACTTCCTTCTCGAGCGTATGAAATTAGCACTTTCTGCTTCGCACGTACACAGGATATAAGAGGTTCCAGAACTCTCGTTGAAAGGGGGGAAGTCGAACCGACGCGGCCATTTCTTCGACTCGAAGTTTGCGCTATCTCTTGCCCCATAAGCTCTTTTTGCCTGTTCTCTGTACTTCTTCTACTTATAAGGCCATTTTTTGTAGTAAATTTTGAAAAGATTTTTATCTCGGTGAGTCCAGAATGAGAAATAGTTTGCATGTTTCCTCCACACTTTGAACAAACAGCTTTTAGAAAACAAATAGATTTCAGAAAGGAAATCGGATTTCTTGAAACAACGTATTTTGTCGCCATGCTTGATGCTTTCCAAACTACATTCTAGCGGGGCCTCAGTCATTCAATCCATAAATAAATAGACATGTTGAAATGTCTACCTGGTTCTTTTTGCGTCTGGGGGATTTAACTTGGCCTCCGCTCTTCTTTTTGCGCGCTGATTTGTCCAGGTAACTTTACGAGCACAGCAAGTGAGCTGAAATGTTAAATACTTAATAACTGTTGCAAATAACGAAGGCAGTAGCGACCATTACCATGTCAACGCTTTCCCGTTCTGTTTCCACTTCAAGACGCTCCAAGTGGGATCGAACCCAAAGTAGGGGAGATGTTTTTATATCGTTCGGACAAATGAGATATAGCGATGAGCAGCTTTTCTAAAAGCTTTGACAATAACTACTGTTGAAGATCCAAGAAATTGACTTACATTTTCCAGTTGTATTTTCGCCAAGAATGTCCACGCCAACACCCATCGCTGAGTTCTCCCCTGGGATAATGTTGATACCGCATAACGTACACCATCGATCCTGGACAGCCGACGGCATAATGAATTGACACTGCTTTTCTTCCCAAGCATAGTCGTGTAGATACTGAAAGCAAAAGTTGTAAGTGATTCAATATAAACGGAACCACCGCAGAAACGCACAAAAATACAACACCTGGTAGGCCCTATTTTCAAGAATAAAATGAGATAACTGGCAAGCTACTACATTAGCTCATCAAGAAGATCAATTAGCAAGCATTTGTGCAGAAATTCCCACGATGAATTATACATGTGTAGCGATGGATCACTAACACGAATAGCGACGCGCTCCGATAAACCTTCAGCTGGTGATGGAATTGTTATCACGAGAGTACATCAGCAAGAATATAAGGCCTGTCAGTCATGAGGTCCGTGCTGCGGCCGCGCAGAAGCTAGGCACCAAACGCACGGTGGCGTGGCGACTACTTCACACGCGCAACTTTACCACCTGCGCTACTTCACCTTGCCGCCGTATTGCGTTCCCCCACTGACACTCTTCGATACCAGTTCTCCGAACGTACAGCGCAACAACAATTTCAAGAGCTAAACCGTAAGTAATCACAGAAAAACTAACATTCAACTATGTTCACCTGACTTGGGTTTGAAGAAGAACGCTATCATCAATAAGACGCCCAACGAATGCCACCTCTCCGCCCTGAAAAGAATATGAAACAAATTACAAGACCATTTACAATGCTTGCTAGGTCGATTATGAGCTACTTCAAAACATGTACGATGACGCTCTTTCCACTCTTTGGTGGGATGGGTGGGCGCATTTTGGCTCCGCCTCACCACATAAACGTGGACTTCGTGTAGAAAATGAGCAAAAACATAAACAGCACGAAGTATTTTTTAGTAAACTATAGAAAGCTAATTATTTTGATATCAAAAAAATGCAAAAAAAAACATTACGACAAACTATTGGTAAGCGATTATTGGCCAGCAGTCCATACAGGCTGCCACCGTCGAGAATGCGTTGAAAGTGAACCTACTCACCTCTACTTCAAGCTCACCTCGACGCGCCACTGTGGCGGATCGGGGAGGAGCTCGCTCCGCCTCGGACGAATCAATTGCACATTCGTTCAACATGCTTCCAGAAGCTGTATCGACAGAAAACCTCTGAAAAAATAGAAATACAATGATATAAGTGAAAGTGAGGTCAACAGAGAAGGAATTACCTTGTCAGTTTCACAGGATTCGAAGAATGGAGGGTTACACATGCAGAACGAGAACTGCAGATCACTAAATTGCCGAGTCAAATCCTAAAACAATGCACATTAAACTGAAGAGCATTACTATTAGAGCGAGACTACTTTGAGAGTGAATATTACGATTATAAAAAGCACATAGTCAAAGTGAACGTGAACTTTTTGACTCAAATCTAAATAGGGGAGGGGAAAGGAAATTCGGCTAAAAAAAACCTGGTGTGTCGCTGGAATATCTTAGCGACACACCAAAACATATTAGCATTCTGAACTGGGAATACATAGAATTTGAAGGAAAAGATTATCCCAGAACTGAGGAAAGTTACCTTGATCAAAGTTGGTGAGTGTTCACTAACATGTACAACCCGTATAAGATGAGTGAGCTGGTTACGAACGACATTATCATTGGCTACATGAGCGGCTTCATCGTCTGCTTCGGTGGCTATGAACTTCCATCCAGCCCAACGAGCACCCAATAAAGCATAAACGCAGGACGCTCCAGTGCCTAAAAATGGCATTTTTGAGGAGCCCTATCCATAAGAACAGTGTAATTGCACATGTAAATGAAAGAAGAATGCGAAGTAACAGGCAGTGATGCAAAAGAGGAAAAGTCGAAAACGCTTAAACTAGAGGTTCCACGTTTTTTGTGCGGCTTAATGAGACAATGAAGCTTTGAGCGCGCAAAAGGGAGGACAGGCAAGAGAGCACAACCGAAGGAAGGTATAAACACCCCTGCCTTCGAGACCACAGTAGTAGCTCGCCATTTGAGTGATCGCTTGAACAATAGGTAGCTAACTTCTACTGCGGCACTAATAGCTGGGAGTGCAATCGTTTAGTCTGATCCGTGTTCAACCGTGACTGTGTGCTAACGCCATTAGCTTGGCTACTACGTCTAACGGATAGCTATTCACAGCAGCACTTTGCAGCGAATGTAAGCAGTAGCTGCAGATTTCTGCTTTGGAAACTAAGAACAACTGTAAAACCTGTAAGTGTTTCAATAAATCAGCACAATATAACTAAAGGAATACACACAAGAAGAATAAAAAAAATAGAAACACTGACCAATGTCAATACCGACAACATCCTGTTCAATTTGATTGAGTTTTAACAAATCTTCAATAAAAAGAATATAATTCAAACGTTGAGGAACACGAGGTACCAAGCAGCCATGTGGTAGCTCAATCTGAAACGAATAAAAATGTTGGCCATTAAAGCGAACGAAGAAACCTCATACCTCGAGATCAAAATCCTTTTTGAGTAAAGCCTTGGCAAGGGAACGCACAGCTCCGTCTTCTTGAAAATTCACGAACACCTTCAATGAGGAACTGATGAGAGGAATGTAAAATATTATCAGCAAGTTTCACAGCATGTACGCAGAAAGCAAATTTCTGGAACCTACCCTGCCATTGGTCCCTAGTGTGCAATGAGCGCGAAAATCGGCAAATCGAGTGGCAAGATCGTTAAAATCTGGTGGCCGTTCTTTGTACGGATTACGTGGATGCATATATCGATTCAGTGACATTTTCACTGCAGTCAGCTTGTTTCCATCCTTAAAATTCATGAATCTAATCTTTGTTAAGAGTACCAGCAAGATCAAACGAAGCAATCGGCAACACAAACGGATAGGAACACGAGAGGAGCAATAATTCCGATAAGAATGATACCTTCTACTCCGAAATACAGTCAACTTTTCAGTGTTATCAGAAATCAGTCAGCAACATAGATGACAGGCGATCCTAACTCCAAGAAGGGAAGAAGAAAGCTCCCAAATGAAACAACTGACTATCCGACTACAAGCAAAAGCATACATTCGTGCAGCATAGAAGAGCGATGGACGACTTATTTTTTATTTCATAAAACGTGCACTTGATAGTTCCCTTTAGAGATAAAACAAAGCACGGGAAGGAACTCACAGCCTCCTACCTGAACTTCTTCTTGTGAGTTCGACTAGCGCCACCTCGAACCACACATAACGTGTAGAAAGCTCAGCAAAAAGAAGACAAGACTGGAGAATATTCCTCTGGGGCTCCCATACCTTTGAAATACTGACACTGAGCATCGGCGGTGGTTCGAAAACAAGGGCGTACAAGTTAAGTGGGTCAGTGTACTCTACGGTTCTGTGTCGTTCATTTGAAGATTTGAATTTAGTGGCGAAGTTTTCATACAAAGTCATACATGCGGTGAACATATTTGCTGTTTCTCGAAACTTTTATGCTTCTTCGATTCCGTGTACGTAGTATCATCTGTGCGCGAAATTTAGTCGAATTCTTTCAGTGGGAGAGTTCCAGGATGGGTGAGACATTTTGTGGCGATTAAGATCCGAGATTTCCACATTTATCTCTATTTTCACTTCTGCATGCGTTTGCATTTACGTTTACCGCCGCTAAGTGAGCGTTCATAGTTGCGACGCAAGGCGATAGCGATTAGCGCATAGTCTACAATAAAAAATACACGTATAGATTAGGGTGATTAGGCGAGTGGCGGTTAGGCGGTGAGGCACACATACGTATTGATTGGTTTGCCCCGCTCATGCAGCGTTGAGACCTCGGTCAGACTCGGCGATTGCGTCGCTGTACACCAGCGACGAGAGCAACCGTTTGAACGCACTCAATGCCCGCGCAGCCTCCGTGTGTTTGTGCCATTCACGGGCACTATCAACTCGGCCCGCGGCTGCCCCCTATGGTTTAGGTATATTGTCTTGGGGCCATTGGGGGAGCGATTCGCTCAAAATGTGAATCGCGCGACCATCGCGCGATTCACATTACTCCCATCATGACCAAATCGCTCCAATCGCGCGATGGGCGCGATCACTCCCGTTGTGGCAGGGAGCGAATCAATCGCTGGAGTCGCCGTCTCCCTCGATCGAATAATGTTTGACAACTGGCGGCCTGCGCTTCTCTGTCACAACGATGATGCGCCATCCGGCGAATTGGAGCGATTTGTCATGGTGTTCACGTAATGTAATCGCGCGAACGTCGCGCGATTCGCAGATCTGACATCGGCCAGTGCAGCAACGCCGGACTCGGGGCTCATCAGCACACCCAGATCAATATTCGTTTGCAGGGTGGAGCAACACTGACACGATGGTGAGATTAAATCTCCCCCCTGCCAACCGATATCGTTCGTGTGCGGATGAGTCATCGCCCGTTGCTGCCACTCTTGTGTCCGGGCAACTCCGTCGCTGGCCGATTCCGTCGCCAGCGATTCCGTCGCCAGCGATTCCGTCGCCAGCGATTCCGTCGCCATTTGTATCAACTATGCACAGAGCGATCGGATCAGGCTCGTAAGTTCAAGCCCTTGCTACGACCCTTGTTTGCACTAAAATCGTTGTAAACATCTGTGTAGGATATTTGTGGCCTGAATACGAAATATGACATCCTTTTCGCTGCCACCATTTATTAGGCTGATGCCAGACTTTGCGAATTGCTGGCTCCGCAAAGTCTGGCACGGCCTTAGTAACTTAAACCTCATTGCTGATTTGAGAGTGTACTCTGAATAATCTCTGGGCTTGGCGTCATCAATCCTTTGAAGCCACAGGTCGGGATTAGGTGACAAGGGATAGTCCCTCCTAGGTATATAAGAGGGTTTCCAAGCGCAAGAGGAAGCGACACTGTCTAAAAAGTCTGGAGCAGCGCGCGCTCAACGCCTTTCCCATTGCCGTGTGCCCATCGTTACCACTTGCGATACGTGATCGTTGCGCACTCTCGCACTTGGACATTCTCTCTCGCATTACCACTCTGCGGGCTCGCAGCGCTGTGTTTCTCCGGCTTACCATTGCCCACAAAAGGAAGCTCAGTGTTTTCTATGGCGTTTTTCTGCTTTTACTTTTCATTGTCGCTTCTCATTGCACTTCTTGTCCAATTTTCAAACAAAATAACACACAAATCGATCCCGACTTGTGCCTTCAAGATTAGGTTGTTTATCTTTTGACAAGTTTTATTCTTTCAGAATGTATGGTGTTCTTGTTATTGGAGCTCCAGGTGCTGGAAAATCAACGTTCTGTGCAGGGCTTGCTGATATTTTCGAGCAAATCGATCGTCCACATATCACGATTAACTTAGATCCAGCCAACGATTTCGTGCAGTACAGTGCAACATATGATATAAAGGAATTAATAACAGTGGAAGACGTAATGGATAGATTAGGTGCGTTATTCCATTTTACTGACAATAAGATTGTAAAAGATAAATCTGAAGGATGGCTTAGTGGCATAAATGAAAGAGCAGGAAAGACAAGTAAATAAAGTAAAATGGTAACTTTGTCTCAGAAAAATATTGAACGGTAGAAGGAGGCTATGCAGTTCAGTGGGCGAATTTCGGGGTCATACCAGCTTTTTTCTTAGTAAGGGTAGGAGGTACAAATATGTTAGTTGATTATAGCTCATGATTTTCATGATCTTTCGATCCTTCCCATTGTAGTCTTCAGTAATCATACCTTTAATCCTTTCTTACATCCTCAGAAAGTTCGCGAGAAGGAGGTATTTTGGGAAACAGGAGACTTGTGATCTTATCTGTTTCAAATTCTTATTCAAATAAAACCGCTCCCTCCGAAGTCACGAAGAGGTCTTGCCTGTTACAAACTCATCAGAATGCGGTTGACTCTGATCCCCACAGAACGGCTGAAGCTTATGAAATTAGGAATTTCAGATGACATGCCTATTTCATTTAGGTTTGGGACCAAACGGAGCCCTGAAGTACTGTATGAGCACATTGTGCCAAAATCGGCAATGGCTATTGCAGAAAATACTCGAAAATAAGGACAAATACATCATCATTGATTGTCCTGGACAACTGGAACTTTACAAAAGTGAAGGCGAATTGTGGAAGGTGAGAATAACGCGGTTCTCATGGAAAAAATGATATGATCTTTTCTTTTCATCGTTAATCATGATCTGTTATTGAGCTGATTCGTGAACTCGAACGTGCGGGTGTTCGTCTATGTGCCCTTCATCTGGTCGATTCCTTGTACTGTGCTGACGCAGCGAAGTTCATATCAGTTGTAATGTCAACGTTAGGTGGGCGCTCATGAACCTTTGCTGATTAATGTGCCCCATTTCATTAGTATGGAGTTCCTGAGGATAATGAAAGCTTTCTGGCTTGAACCTAAATTATTTGTAATAACAATGAGGTAAAACTCAAAACCCTGCAGTGGAAGCGCCTGGTTGTGTCAGTAAGAGCACACATAGTATCATCTAAAGTTCTGCGCTTGCTTCTACTGGCCGATGTCAGACTTTGCGATTGGAGCGATTGTGCACCAATTGCAGGAGCGACGGGAGATTTACACCGCCGACCACCGATACACACGGCGCCGCTCGGGTAAATCTCCCGTCGCTCGCATTGGTGCACAATCGCTCCAATCGCAAAGTCTGACATCGGCCACTACCATTGTCGAATTTGTAATCGCGCCCATTTGGCCAAAAAGCGTACCTAGCCATTTCTTGGGCCACTACCCTTTGGAATTAATGTAAGGTAAAGTTTGTTCTATAGAGTTAAACACAAAAGTCTTGGAAATAAGTTGCCAACGCGCGAAAAAAAGAGGTCGTGATAGGTGCAGGATACAAAACTCTCGCGTTGTCTCGTGGCCTGCAAAGAGCTGAGCGTACATGCCGTTCGCGCTGTCAATGTGCTCGGCTCAGTGTTCGTGTGCTCCCGGACAAGTCGCAAAGTTAAACCGCGCTTACAAATTTTGATTTCAACACTCCTGCGATTGAATGATCGCGCGACGGTAATAATATCTCCTTCAAAAAGCCGCACGATCGCTGCGGCAAAACATAGGTATAATTGAGCGCAGGATCGAGTGCGTGCAGGTCTAGAAACGCTGTATCGTCAATTATGACCACGACTTTAGATGTGAAAGCTCTGAATTTGAATTTTAGAATTCGGTGAAATTTTGCATCGAGAACTGTAGACGATGATGAGACATTCCCAGCCACTGGTCCTTGCGTATTCTTCGCTGTAGTCATAGAAATCTGGGCACACGCTATAAGGAGGTATTTCACAGAAAAATCTGGCTGTCGGTAACCCAAGTAAAAACTGCACTTTTTATCGCATATACAAATCCATTGTCGATTGGATCTCTGGAAAAATTGGGTACTATTCACTATTACTGCCCCAAAATCTCAAAATTTTATTTTTCGTCGAAACTTTGCCTATAGGGGTAATTCGATGCCCTGATTACGAATATGACATTCATTTTTGATGCTGGCGCCATTTGGCGCTGGCGCCACCTTGTCACGACGGCTGTTTTCACCAAATTCGGTGTAAACTTGTATATAGGGGTTATTTGGTGTCCTGATTACGAATATGACATTTATTTTTCCGTTGGCGCTATTTGGCGCCTATTTTCTGCTCGTCTGCGCCCTCTACTGAATTGATCGCGATCAGGACTAAGCCTTTGGGTAGAGGTGGCTTACAGGTGAGCACAACTCATCCTGTGATCTCCCACACTTCATCCTTGCCATACGATGCGCAATTTGTCCACGCGTTACCCCCTTCCCAACAAGCTTACCCTTAGGCACGTACCGAAGTGAGAGCCCAGGAGAGCAGAAAATATGCGTTAGACAGCGCCAATTCCAAAAACGAATGTCATATTCGTAATCAGGACACCAAATAACCCCTATACACAAGTTTACACCGAATTTGGTGAAAACAGCCGTCGTGACAAGGTGGCGCCAACTGGCGCCACCAGCATCAAAATGAATGTCATATTCGTAATCAGGGCATCGAATTACCCCTATAGACAAAGTTTCGACGAAAAATAAAATTTTGAGATTTTGGGGCAGTAATTGTGGAATAGTGCTCGAATTGTTTGTGGTATTCGATCGTGTTCGATCGTTATTTACTTGCTGTCCAGACTTTAAAGTCGAACAGTGCGTTGATGTCTGGCAGATCCCTTGAAATTCTATGAGTAAATAAGCACCTATTCTGGATCGCAATGCATTGCATTGTATTCTTTTATTTGCATTGATTGTCTACCATTTTTAGCAACAATGGTGACTATGGAGATGCCGCAAG